AGCCCCTGTTCTACGAAAAAAAAAAAAAAAAAAAAAAAAAAAAAAAAAAAAGAGCCAGGCAAGTGGAATGACACAGTGTCAGACAAGATGGGTCAGCATATACAAAAGCCAAGAAGATAATGATGAGGAAGTAGCAATCACACTGCGAAACTAGAGATACAGAAGTGCTATGTGGTCTTCTGAACCGCACCAGGGAAGTTAATCTTGATTCCTGCAAGGGCAGTAGGAAACCACTGGAGGGTTTTGTTTGATTTTGGAGTTTTTTTTTTTGGGGGGGGGGGTTCTGTTTTGCATTGCTAAGAATAGAACCCAGGAATTTGTACATGCTAGTTACTTAACCTCTGAGCTACACTCCCAGCCCCATGGAAGGGTTCGGCATAAGCGGGTAGTCTAACCTAATTCCTTTTACAAAGACCCTCTGGTTATGGAAGAGAAACTAGATTCAAAACTGGATGCGGTGGCATTTTAATCCTAGCACTTGGAAGGCATAGCCAGGAGGATCTCTATGAGTTTGAGGCTGGAGTTACACAGAGAAGCCCTGCTTTACAAACAAACCAAAGCTGGGCGTTGGTGGCGCACACCTTTAATCCCAGCACTCGGGAAGCAGAGGCAGGTGGAAGTCTGTGAGTTCGCGGCTAGCCTGGTCTACAGAGCGAGTGCCAGGATAGGCTCCAAAGCTACACAGAGAAACCCTGTCTCGAAAAACCAATAGATAGATAGACAGATATCTAGATATCTAGATAGATAGATAGATAGATAGATAGATAGATAGATAGATAGATAGATAGATAGGGTAAAAACAAAACAAAACGACAAAAGAAACTGGATTCAGAACATGTAAGATTGGAAACTATGAGACTTACTGGAAAGCCAGTATTGAAATCTAGAACGACAGAGATGGCAATGGCTTGGAAAATGACAGGAAAAAGAGACGGTGTGTTCAGAGACTTCTAGAAGATGGATTGCCAGGATGGGTTTAGTTCACCTTTAAGACGTGGTCAGCCAGATAACAAGTGCCCCATCACCCAGGTAAGTGGGTTGTAGGAAGTAAAGCAGATTGATGGGAGGAAAGTAAGGAGTTCAGCTTCCCAACATGATCCTAAGTGTAAGTATGAAAATGGTTACAGTATTACCTAAAGAGGAAGATTAATGAGGCCACTGGAGTGTTAGGATTTCTCAAGGAGGGTGTTGAGAACAAGAAGAAAGCCTAGGACTAAGCCCTGGGCAACTGAGTTAATGGCCAGGAAGAGGAGAATGATCCAGCAAAAGAGATAAGGAGTGGGGGGGGGCGGGAGGGGAGGTCTGGAGAGATGGCTCAGAGGTTAAGAGCACTGGCTGTTCTTCCAGAGGTCCGGGGTTCAATTCCCAGCAACCACATGGTGGCTCACAACCATCTGTAATGACATATGGTACCCTCTTCTGGCCTGCAGGCATATATGGAGGCAGAATGTTGTATACATAATAAATAACTTTTTTTTAAAAAAAAGAGAGAGATAAGGAGTGGATACAAAGGGAGATAGCAGCCTGGGGTGGGGGTGGGGATAGATGAGACACCGGGGCGGCACAGGAGACAAGTGAGAGGACTTCAGGAAATGAGAGTAATTAACCATGTCACTTTTGCTGTGGGGGCAAGTCTAAGGATGACTTAGAAGGATATAGGCAGTCACTGATAATTAGTCATGAAGGTTGGAGTAGATTAAAGAATTGATGGCAGTTAAGTAAAGATAACTAAGAGAAGAAACCCATTTGGCAATATGCAAGATCTTATAGTGAAGATGAAAAAACCCCAACAGTCACTGGGATTTTGCTCTGCTCACCTCAGCTCCCTGGTCCTTGTGATCTCCAGCAAAAGAATCCAAGGGGGACACATGTAGTATAGTGTAGAAGTGGAGCCCTCTGTTGGTGAAAGTGAACAGTTGTCAAGGGGACCGTTGTTGTCATTAAGCACATTCTCAAGAGGTAAGCGTGAACAGTGGTCAGAGAAGCAAGCCATCGTCCCAGCTTTCTTTTACTTGAATATTCCTTCCGTCAATTTTTTGAGATAGATGTTGAATACTTTTTAGAAATACAGTGTGAGATTTAACATTATTATAATTGAGTCTCCTCCTTATTTCCCCGATTTTTGTTGTTGTTGTTGTTTATTTGTTTTTCGAGACAGGGTTTCTCTGAGGCTTTGGAGGCTGTCCTGGAACTAGCTCTTGTAGACCAGGCTGGTCTCGAACTCACAGAGATCTACCTGTCTCTGCCTCCCGAGTGCTGGGATTAAAGGTGTGAGCCACCAATGCCTGGCCAATTCCCCGATTTTTAACCCTACCAAATATCAACGTATTACCTACCCTGCCCTGGGGTACCTGTACCATTTTAGCATAGCCTCATTAAAGTGAAATTGACACAAAATAATCTGTACATATTTAAAATATACCATTTGGTAAGCCTTAATGCCTATGAAAATATCACAAAATAATAAAAATATCCATTACTCCAAAATGTTCCTTTTATCTCTCCTTATTGCTGTCCCTTTCATCCATAGGTAACTATGGATCTGATGATGTTACAGATGAGCTTCTATCACCTAGTGTCATATAAATGAAATCATCTAGTATTTCATCTCATTCTTTTTTTCCCCTTGGAACAGAGTCTCAAGCGCATCTCCATATTCAACTATTGCATTTTAAAAATTTTACTATTAGCATATATTCTGTAAAAAAGATTGTTCCACTATGTTATTCTCATACATATGTACATTGACCATATTATCTATAGTGAACATTCAAGTCATTACCAAGTTTGGTAATGCTAGTGAAAGTAAAAATGTTATGAACATTTGAATTCAAGTATTGTGAATATATATTTATGTTCTATTACTATTTAATATACAATATTATTTATGGTTTACTACATTAACATTGGTTTATAAGACATTCAATACTTACTTTAGATATCATAATAATTACTTTTGTTAGATTTGTGGTGCCTGTATTTTGCAAAGTATGATACAATGACTAAAATGATTCTTTAAATCAAGACTTCCTGGAAATCCAGGACATGATCTTTTGATTTATTGTTTCCATAACTTTCTGTGTCTCCTGTTTTCTTCTCAGGATTTTCATTTTGTTAGTTGTTGGGTTTTTTGTTTGTCTGTTTGCTTTTGTTTTAGAGACAGGGTTTCTCTGTGTAGCCATTGCTGTCCTGGAAGTCTCTCTGTAGACCAGGATGGCCTCACAGAGGTCTTCTGCCTCTGCCTCCCCAGGGCTAGGAGTAAAGGCCTGCGCCACCACCGCCCAACATTTATCAGGTTTTTGTTTTATGGAAATAGGGTTTTATTGTGTAGCCATATCTGGCCTGAAACTCACTCTGTAGACTCACAGAGACTTTCTGTCTGCCTCCTGAGTGTTCCTGGAATTTATCAGACACTTTTTAATCCCATAGGTTTCTTCTAAAGTAAACACGTGGCATCTGGCATCCTCCTTTTCTTCATCATCAGTGGTGAGTATTCGGGGTGCTAAAGATGGACTTCTGAGAAGGAATGTGTAATTTTCAGGCATTTCTTTTTTATACTATTGTGACAAAAATGTACACAACTTTCAGTTTCTTTTGCACTTTTTTTTTTTTAAATACGTTTACGGTTGTTTTGCCTGCATGTGTGCCTGTGCATCGTGTGGGCCTGTGTTCAATACCCTGGAGCTGGTTACAAATGGTTATTGAGTAGATACTGGGAGGGAACCCAAATTCTGTTCATTGTCAAGCCATCTTCTAGCCTCTTGTTTTGTGTTTCTCAAAACAAGTCCCAAGCCTTTAGAGAGTCAGAGGCAGGTGAATCTCTGAGTTCAAGGCTAGCCTGGTCTACAGAGTTCTAGGACAACCAGGACTACACAGAGAAACAAAACCAAAAACAAACAAAACAGGTCTCATTGTGTAGCCCTGGCTTGACTGGAACTCACTATGTAGATAAAGCTGACCTTTACTCCTGTCTCAATTCCAGCCAATTGCTGGGATTACAGATGTGTACATGCCCAGAAAGTTTTTCTTTCTTCTTTTCATTCTCCCCCTCCCCCCACCCAGATAGGGTTTCTCTGTGTAGCTTTGGAGCCTGTCCTAGCACTCATTCTGTAGGCCTGTTTGACTTCAAACCCACAGAGATCCACCTGCCTCTGCCTCCCAAGTGCTGGGATTAAAGGCATGCACCATGAACACCTGGCTCAATTACAGTTTTTAATGGCTACATAATATTCTATCCTGTGTATGTAACTTGATTTACTTCATATGACATTTAGTGTGCTTCAGTTTTTCAATATTGTAATATAAGCATTCTTTTTTTTTTTAATTTTTTTTTTATGTATACAGCCTGCAGGCCAGCAGAGGGTACCGGATCTCATTCAAGGTGGTTGTGAGCCACCATGTGGTTGCTGGGAATCGAACTCAGGACCTCTGGAAGAGCAGTCAGTGCTCTTAACCGCTGAGCCATCACTCCAGCCCAAAATAAGCATTCTTATATAGTTTTTTTTCTTTTTTTTAAAATTCTTGGGCTGGAGAGATGACTCAGCGATTAAGAGCACTGGCTGCTCTTCCAGAGATCCTGAGTTAGATTCCCAGCACCCACATGGTTGGGATCTGATGCTGTCTTCTGGAATAAAGGCATACATGTAGATAGTGCACTCATATACATAAAATAAGTAAATAAAAATTGTTAAACATTTTTTGGATTATTTTTGTCTTGAACTTTACTTTCATGAGGTATGAATATTTCCATTGCTATTGGAAGTTTAAATTTTTGGTGGGGAAAAGTCTAGAGAGATGGATGGGCAAGTACATCCAGTTATCCACTAGAATTCCTTCCTCACAGAAAGAGAAAGAGAAGCAAAATAATATTTAAAAAATGTTTTTGGTGTGTGTGTGTTTTCTTTTCTCTAGCCAACTGTAAAACTCTTCATTGATGGGAAATTTGTTGAATCCAAAAGCGACAGATGGATTGATATCCACAACCCAGTAAGCAAAACTTTTGGGGGACTTAAACTTACTAGCCTAGAACTTTGGGAGCAAGGGACAAGGTGGGGTCTTAGGGCTCTGCCACAAAGCACAGTGTTGCCCTTGTGAGTGGTCAGTGTGGGGAAGGTGAGGTGCTGGCAATATGTGATGGCTTCTTTTCAGGCTACCAATGAAATCATCGGTCGGGTACCTCAGTCCACCAAAGCTGAAATGGATGCAGCTGTTGCTGCCTGCAAACGTGCTTTCTCTGCATGGGCAGACACATCCATTTTAAGCCGTCAGCAGGTCCTGCTCCGCTATCAACAACTTATTAAAGAAAACCTGGTAAGAAATTTGAGTAGCTTTCTAGCCTGTTTCCTAGGGTATGTTGGTCACCTCTTCAAAGACTGATCAATGGCCCTTCACTCATGAGGTCTCCCTCAGTTTTGTTTGCCCTTGGAGGGAAACAGGGGCTGGGTATAGATAAGAGTTCAGTGGTAGAATATGTGCTTAGTGAACATGACCAAAACCCCGGATTCAGCCTAGCATGGTGGTTCATACCTGTAACTCCAGCACTTGGGAGGAGGAGGCATGAAGATCATGATTTCAAGGACAGCCTCAACTACAAAATAAGTTTGAGGCTAGCCTGGGCTACATGAGACTTTGTCTCAAAAAAAAAAAATTCATCGTCAACAACAAAATCATGATGGATATTTCCAATACCAAGAAATACAGGAACATCCTTGGATTAGTTTCTATTTCTGTTTTCTCTGTAGAAAGAAATTGCCAAGTTAATCACATTGGAACAAGGGAAGACTCTAGCTGATGCTGAAGGAGATGTATTCCGAGGCCTTCGTAAGCTGGGGAGCCCCTCATGTGATTTGTGGGAGAGGTCAAAAGAAAATGGGAGACATACCCCAGAATGTGGAGGTTGATTCTTTATGTAGATTTTGCTATCCTGTGGTAACTTTTTCTTTTTTCTTCTTTGTTTTGATTTGTTTTTTTGTAACAGGTTTTTTTTTTTGAGCCACCAACCAGCTCCCAAATCATAACACAGAGACTTACTATTAGTTTTGAATGCTCGACCTTATCTTATATTTGTCCACTAGCTCTTTTAACTTAAACTGTTTCTCTTCATCTAAGTTTTGCCTCAGGGCTTTTTACCTTTCATTCTGTGTGTCCTACTCCATATCTTGCTGAACCTGGGTATCTCTCTCATTCCCCCCCCCCCCCGTGTGTGTGTGTGTGTGTGTGTGTGTGTGTGTGTGTGTGTGTGTCCCGAGCCTAGATTTTTCATCCTACTTATTCTCTCTGTCCACAAGCCCCACCTATCCCTCCTCTGCCTAGCTGTTAGCTGTTTAGCTTTTTATTAGACCAATGAGGTGCCTTCGGCAGGCAAAGCAACACATCTTTACATCATTAAGCAAATGCAACATTAACAAAAGTAACACAAGCCTGATATTGGTGGTACACGCCTTTAATCTTCACACTTTGGAGGCAGAGGCAGGTAGGTCTCTGTGACTTTGAGGCCAGCCTGGTCGACAGAGCTAGTTCCAGAACAGCCAGGACTACACAAAGAAACACTGTCTTGAAAAACAAAACAAAAAACGAACAAATGTAACACATCTTTACATTGTTTAACAAATGCAGCATAAATAAATGTAACACACCTTTACATAAAGAAATATTCTGCAGCATAAGCAAATGTAGCATAACTTTACATAGTTAAAGAAATATTCCACAACTGCCTTGGAACTTATTAGGTAGTCAAGGCTGGCTCTGACCATGGTCCTCCTACCTCAGCCTCCCAAGAGCTAGAATTATAAGGTGTGTACTACCACACCCAGCAATACCTTTAAAAAAAATTAATAGGCAATACTTGTTGGGTACCTTTGAGACTGATTTATTGGGTTTTGGGTTCTTTTTTTTTAAGCTCAAATGATGTTTCAGAACAAATGTGCATCTCATCATCTTTCTTTCCCACTCAGAGAATCTGTTTATCTAATCTCCTCACATGGAAGGACAAATCCCTGTCATTGGTCTGATCCACCCCTTATCCTCAGGATTGAGCAGAGCATGACAAAGTAGTTTTCAGTCTTCATCTTCTCTCTTCCAGAGGTGGTTGAGCATGCCTGTAGTGTGACATCCCTCCTGATGGGAGAGACCATGCCATCTATCACCAAAGACATGGACCTTTATTCCTACCGTCTGCCTCTGGGTGTGTGTGCAGGCATTGCACCATTTAATTTCCCTGCCATGATCCCCCTTTGGATGTTTCCCATGGCTATAGTTTGTGGAAATACTTTCCTAATGAAACCATCAGAGAGAGTACCTGGAGCAACTATGCTCCTTGCTAAATTGTTTCAGGATGCTGGGACCCCCGACGGAGCCCTGAACATCATCCATGGACAGCATGAAGGTAACTTTTTTAATGTGGCTACTTACCGACTCCCAAAGAAATTAAAGTGTTCAGTATTGATTGGTAATTTTAATGTTTATTTATGTGCATGTAATTCTTTGTGTGTCTGCCACATATGTGTGGGTACCCCCAGGGGCCAGATCAGGGCATTGGATCTCCTGAAGTTGGAGTTACAGATGTGTCTGGGGTGCCAAGTGTGGGTACAGAACTGAGTTCATATCCTCTGGAACAGTGAGAAGCTTTCTTATCCACTGAGCCATCTCTCCAGCTCTATGATTGGGGATTTGAGGATGAGGAAATTAGCAAGGAAGGATTTACTAACAGTAACCTCCATGTTTTAGGGTCATGTGTCCTGACCATCTTGTCATCTGGATGGGCTAAAGTAACTAATTAGAGAGGAGCAGTGTTTCTTACTCTACACTTCAAGACACCAGAAAAATGGATTAGGACCAGACCAAGATAAGATTAAAGAGAAAGTTTATTTTCTTGTTTAAAATCTCAACAATCCTTTAAGGGAGGTACTATTTTTCATGTTACTGATGAGAAAATAGAGGCAGAGTGCAATGAAGTCATATGCTCTAGGTAATACTACCAGAAACTAGGAAAATTAGGATATGTCTATCATGGAAGGCTGGCTCTGGTTCTTACTTTTAAATATTGTGCCCTATCAATAACCTCCTGCATGAGGGTCTAAGTGTCTGAGAATCTTAGACATAGTATATTCTTAAAGGATAAAATAAAAAGTTTTTGAAAGGATGTTATTTTATTTGATGAAAATAGAAATTGTAGCCTTAGCCAGGTGGTAGTGGCACATGCCTTTAATCCCAGCACTCAGGAGGCAGAGGCAAGTGAATCTATGTGAGTTCAAAACCATGGTCTGCAGTAGCTAGTTCCAGGACAGGCAAAGAGAGAGAGAGACAGACAGACAGAGAGAGAGAGAGAGCTCTTTTTGGGGGGAAAGGGAGGGAGAGAGGATTTGGAGCCTTTGTAGACTGTCAAAATGGAGCAACATGTGAAGGCACTTGGCAAGTAAGCAAGATTCCTTGGAACTTATGTAAAGGTGGGAGGAGAAAACCAATTCCACAAAGCTGTCCTCTGAAGTCTACAGGCAAAGAGAGACATACATCATCATCATCACACCCATATACACACAATAAAAAAATAAAGTTTAAAAAATTTTGGCTTTCAGAGATTAGAAGTGTTTTTAAAATACTAATGAGAATAAATCAGTTAAATAGAATTTGTAACTTAAAGGCGGGTGTGGTGGCACATGACTATAAAACCAGGATTTGGGAGACAGAAGCAAGTGGATCTCTGTGAGTTTGAGACCAGCCTGGTCTAGTGAGCTCCAGGCCAGCCAGGGCTGCATAGTCTCAAAACAAAAAAAAAAACAACAAACAAAACCAAATTGTAATTTAAGAGAAATAAGAGCCCATCACAGTGGGATTTTCATGTAGAAATGTATGGATGTTAATTCAGTCTCGGGGAAAGGGAGATTTGTATTTATAAGACAATGGGCTTTTATTCTTTTTTGTAATCATTTATTTTCTTTTTAAAGCTGTGAATTTTATTTGCGATCACCCAGACATCAAAGCAATCAGTTTTGTGGGCTCCAACCAGGCAGGAGAGTATATCTTTGAAAGAGGGTCAAGAAATGGCAAGAGAGTTCAAGCCAATATGGTAACTTCTCATTTTTTTTGCTCCTCAAATTTGGCTATGTGAATATGTAGGACCTAGGGATTATCTACATAGACAGGCCACTCATTCCATGTCCCATGAAGGCCAGTATTTGTCATTCCATTCTGAATGTCTTCTCCTTTAGTTCCCAAACCTTGTGAAGTTTTATTCTGTTGTAGTTATCATCTTTTATCATATACAATTAATTTTGGTGACAAAGGGCATATTCCTCCTCAAAAATGTTGCTTAAATTCTTTAGTCTTCAGCATTAACAGCCCAATTTCTCTTTCTTTTTTTTTTAGTTTCTTTTTTATATATTTGAATTACAAACTAGATTAAATTACATGACAATCCCAGTTCCCTTCTCCCTCCCTTCCTCCCCTACCACCCCCCCAACTAAACTGAAGTTGTTCCCAAGGACCAATTTCTCTTTCTAGACCTTATTGTACCTTAGTATACCCTAACTACTAGTGATATGGCTTAAAAATAGATAAATAAGCCAGGTAGTGGTAGCCCACACCTTTGATCCCAGCATGCAGAGGCAGGTGGATCACTGGTTCCAGGACAGCCTCCAAACCTACAGATAAACCCTGTCTTGAAAAACAAAACAAACAAAAAAGATAAAGATACGGTTATCCCCTGAGGTTGTTTCAGCTTTACAAAGCCAGTTTATTAAGGAATTGCAAAGGGGCCAGTCCATGTCAGGCACTGGTTCATATGTCCTCATATAATACTTAGTATTATACAATAGTTTAATACAATTAGTTAATACAATAGTTTACTTTTGTATTCTATATTTTTTGTTTTGTTTTGGTATTTTGAGACAGGGTTTTTCTGTGTAGCTCTGCTGTCCTGAAACACAGGTTGGCCTCAAACTCAGAAAACCCGCCTGCCTCGGCCTCTGAGTCCTGGGATTAAAGGTGTGTACCACTACTGCGCAGCTCCTACTATTCTCTTAACCTGTCAATTTGAAAATAACAGCCTCCTCCCCACCACCAACACCTTGTAAATGGTTTTGACCTAAATCAGTTCGCATCAGTTTCCCAAGGAGATTAAAATAACATGGAGCCCTGTTTAGAATTGCTTAGATTTCAGCAGTATTAAAAATGATCTCTGGCCTGTGCTACAGAGTCAGTTCAATACTAGCTTTGGCAACTTAGTGAGACTCTATCTCAAATAAAATGTTTAAAAAGAGAGATACTTCAGTGGCTGACATTTCCTTGGCATTCTTAAGACCTCAGTTCAATTCCCAATACTGCAAGATTTAAAAATTAAAAAAATTTTAAAAATCTTTGTTCAAAATAATAAAAGATACAGTCTTTCTTCCTTAAATTCTCATTTTTGTTTGTTTTTCGAGACAGGTTTCTCTGTAGGTTTGAAGACTGTCCTGGAATTCTTTGAAGACCAGGCTGGCCTCGAACTCACAGAGATCCGACTGCCTCTGCCTCCCGAGTGCTGGGAAAAAAATCATTGGTACTTAAAAAAAAAAAAAAAAAGCCTGGCGGTGGTGGGGCACGCTTTTAATCCCAGCACTTGGGAGGCAGAGGCAGGCGGATCTCTTGTGAGTTG